CCTCAATATTTCCCTCCTGGGAAACCTGAGATTTAGCAGGAAGCCTTTCACTATACATACTTTAGAAATAATTAATTTTAAATAATGACTTCATGCATGATGCAATGTCCTATTGCGTTATTAGCCTACAACCTTGTCTTCCCTCATCCTTCTATCCTTCTTATTTTCTTGGGATAGACTTAATTTTCTTCATAGTAGCACATATGGTGCTATGTTTTGGATTTGAAACCAAACCAGCATAGGTAACACTCACCTGTTTCAGCTATTGCTGAGCATTGCCGCCACAGGAATACCTTGCATTGCTCAGCCAGCTGGAAGGGCACAAGAAGCTGGGAGGGGCGCAGTCAGGATGGCTGTTAATTTGCATTGTGCTAACCCACAACACTTGCATACAAATATTTTAGTAAACTGCAATCCTACAAACAAACAAGATACTATTGTGGCGTTAAACTACTTACGTGGGCTGTAATGGATCCTAAGAAGTGAAATTTCCAGGGCCAGGTAAGCTTTTGGAATCTGTTGCACTGACGCCAGGATGAAAATGATGAGCACTATTTCTTACCTTGTTACTGATTTCCTATGTGGCTCTAAGTTGTAAAATGCTGTGGCTGTTCCTACCTGCCAGTTTTTTCCTGAAGATCATCTCAGCGATAACACCTCTTGCTGATGACCTGCAATTCAGGCTTTTTGTGCATCGCCTAGGACAACTGTAACACCTTGTGAGGTTTTTCTCAGCCCACCAGTCATATGCTACAAACTCTAGCTACCCTCTGGCAAGAGGCTCTCACACTTTCTTTCTCTCTCTTTTGCCTGCACCACAACCCTAGCATGCAGGTCCATGTAAGGGCTTGTCTCTAACCAATGCCTACCTGCCCTTGATTTTAAAGGAACAAGGGAAACCTGAGTCAGGATGCAGGTGCTTGTAGTAACATAGCTTTATAAATCAACAAATTCAGAGAATCATATAATGGTTTGTGTTGGAAGAGACCTTGAAGATCACTTAGTTCCAAACCCCTGCCAAGAGCAGGGACACCTTTAGCTAGAACAGGCTGCTCAGTGTTCCTTCCAGCCTGACCTTAAACACTTCCTGGGATAGGGCATTTACAACTTCTCTGGGCAAGCTGTTCCAGTGTCTCACTACCCTCAGAATACAAAATATTTTCTTAGTATCTAATCTAAACCCACTCTCTTTCAGTTTGAATCCACGTTCTATTGTTGCCAGGGCAATTATATCTTGAATTACTGCTCAACACCTTGAAGAGGGACAGCAGACAGGATGTGTCCTGTTGAATTTTGCTGGGGGCATTTGTGATGATGCCTGTCCTGAAAATACACAGAAGACAGTCAGCTAGACTGCCCTTCCATTTGACACAGAGCTTGTACAGAGATGCAGGCAGGCTATGACACACAAGATATCAGAGCATCTCAGGAAGGTACAGAATCATGAGTTCTGTCCTAGGATGACACAAACAATTTCTGACATGAAGTAAAACAGCACCTCACTTGGGAATAGGATGGTGTTCGAATTATCAGAGATCTTTGCTGTTCTGACATATGCCAGGAAAGCAAATTATTGTAAAGACTTCTTTGAATGCAGTGTGCATTCCAGTCTTGCTTCTCTCTTTCACAGACTGCTTGGTCAAATTTGTTTGGATGGGCCTTTAGTGGAGAAGATGCGGGTGTCACGTACCATGGCTACACCAATGGCAAAAGTTTCTTGGGTGCACACGAAGAGCACTGATCATGTAGGTATCCTACCATACACAGAGGTCATGCAGTTACCCTGTAAACATCTGAAGCTGTGAAATTCAACCTGTGTCCCACAGGAACTCTGCTGCCCAAGTGCTGAAAATCCTATGAGAAGGGGGTCTGTGGATTCCACTGTGGAAGCTAAAAGAAAACAGGGAGAACATGGACTTGTCCATCCAAGCAGCTCACAGTCATCATTACAGGCCTGTTTTTATCTCCAGCTCTGGCCAAAACTTCTGTAGACAAGAAATCTGGCTGCTAAACTGACATTGCAGTGTAACCACCTTTGTGTTTTTGCCCATGGAATGGAAGTAATAAGATTACCAGAGGTCACTGAGTATTTTGGAGTAATCATTGAACACCAAAAACTGCAAGTACAGATCATTTCCTTAAATGGAGATTAAAAATTTGTTATGATAATCATAACTGAAAATAACAAGATACTGGGTTTTGTGAAATTAACCGATCACCTTTTGTTATGTTTTAGCAGTACTTGGCTGCTTGCCTTGCTCCTAGTAAAGAATATGAATACTCTGTGCAGAAGTTGAGAAATATAATTTCTGCAAGACTTAGGCTCTGGGTTTTTTTAACAGTGATAAACAGAGAGTTATTTGATTTGTGACATTTTAATTTCCAGTTCCTTCAGAATGCCCTGCGTACGCCGTAATTCAGTATCAAGGAACTTTACAAGGTAACTGTTAAGAACATCAGCAAGTTCTCATTTGGCTATCATAGGTCTAAGTAAAACTCAAGACTAATTTTAGCATTTATTGGAATGTGCTACTAGAAAGAAAAGGTCAAATGTGCTCACAGGAAAGCAGCACCAGTTTGAGTTTCTGGCTCAAATCTGTTTCTCCCTTGCAACAAGTGACACTTTCCTCCATCTATTCCTGTCAAGCAGAATAAATCAGAGCAGCAACATCTGTCTAAGAGGAGGAATTTTGTATACATTTGTCATGCAAAATATTCCCTGTTCCCAAAACATATTCAAAAGAGTGGTTCACTATTCCTGGAGGAAAGGGGAGCACAGTGACACAGCACCACCAATGCAACAGACAGCATCCTCTGCCTGCATGAGATACTTATCTTTGAAAAAAAAAAAAGTCAAAAGGTTTTTTTCAGCACTACTCATTAGCGCTGCTCCAGCAGAAAAACTAGCTGCTCTGTCTCAAGTCTATGGAGGCAGATAAGAATGCAGACTCAACCTGTTGAAATCCCTCTTGCAGTTCCTCTTGCAGTTCTAAGAGACGCCTACAGAGTTAGGAGAAAAAAGCTTTCAACGATTCATTTACCCATGCTCCTACCTTGATGAGTACCAAGTAAAAGGTAGGCCCTGAGGAGGCTGAGTATTGCAAATTAGTTGCCTGTCTTCTGCAGCTGAAGAAAGACTCAAAATGACATTTTCTTCTTAACAACAGCTACTGCAAAAGACTGATGTTATACATATATACATACACATATATGTTAAGGGTGGGATTTTTGCTGTTACAAAAGCATTCAAACCATTTAAATTTATAATCAAGATCTTAATGATTTAGAGCCCATGGCTGATTTCCACTTTAAATCATAAGCAGTAGTTAAGAGGAAACAGATGAAATAGGTTAAGAAATTCAAAAGGCTCATCATTCTCATGAAGGTGAAGTACAAAAGCAGATCAGCATTATGGCCAAGCCTATGACTATCTGTGACACAAGACAATCCCTAGAACGTAAAGGAAAGAATGGCATTTCCATAATTTCTATCAATCAATATCCCATCTTCCTCCACATGGTTTTAGTTTAGGGCCTGGCAGTGTCAAATGACATAGTAAGAGGACAGTACTTCCCCTGCCAAACTAAAGATGCTCCTCTGGCAAAGGGGAGGCAAAAACACACGTTCAGCTACCCTGAGGAAGCCCACATTGTTGTATCATCTGTGCTTATTTAAAGAAGAAATACTACCAGTGAGGGTTTCTGATTTCTTTTCGAAAGGAGTGCAACTTTACTGTGAAAAATCTGATAAAGAATTTCTTCCCATCCAAGGATATTCAGGGAAAGGAAGCACCAGTTAGCCACAGCCTCACATTCAGGATTTGCTAGCTAGTCACAAACAGAGAAGCTTCTTGAATATATTGGTGTCCGTGGAAGAGCTGCCCAGAGAAGAATCCTTTTTGGCAGAAGACATGTTGTCAAGTAGGAGAAAAGTAGCATAGACAACAGTAATAAAAAACACAAAACAAAACAAAACCCCAAACAAACAAGTCTGAAATATGCTTCATGTCAAGATGCATCTCACATATATTTTCTCTAAGGCTTTGGATGCTTAATTCATATAAATGCAGACAAATCTGAAAATGAACCAGTGGGAAAAAAGTGAGAAGAAAAATAGATGACTTGGAAGAATTTCTGAAATTGTGAGTTCCTTTTGCGAATAGCCCAAAGAACATTCTGTAGGTCAGAGTACCAAATGTTTCAAAATTTCCTATTTATCCTTTGGCAGCAGAACTAAATCCTCACAGGGGAAACAATGAGGAAAATTTTCAACATCTTTACTTTGAATGTCACATGGTCCATGCATTAAGAATAGTAAAAAGTTGGCAAAAGCAGGTGAAATTATAAATTCCAGATTTGTACTTGCTAAGCTGTCTAACTTGGGAATAGTAAAGAACACTTCACACGGAGGGGGGGAAGGCTGCATGTTTTATTCTCTCAATTTCTTCAGTGGAAATGATAAAGTGGCAGTTTACTACTTAAACCCAACATGAAATTTTTGCCACCTCAAACTAAGAACGATTTGGAAGAATAAATATTCTTTTTGAGAGGTCTGGAGAGAGCAATTCTGGTTTCAAAAGCATTTTTTAAACCGTGTTCCTTTATGCTATTTGCATGTAATACAAAGAATATATAAGGAAGTTGTTCCTGACCCCCACACCTTAAGAAATACAGTCCAAGGAGTTCGAATGTATCAGTTTTTCTGCTTCAAAGGTTATTTATCTTTCTCTCTCAAATGTTTCCAAAGGGCCAAAATGATAGATACTACGGATCAAACAGAGATCCTTTGTGGTTCAAATTTATCCTATAGACTACGTCTTAATATTCAACTGAAAGGAAAAGAACATGTGGCTTACATCAAATCCAAATTTCTGAAGCAATGCAGGTCCTCTGAGACTATCCCTGAAATGTGTTGTCCTTGATCCAATATTACTGGATTTTCATATACAGTATTAACTACACACTTTTTTAGACAAAAAAGAACACTATCCAGGAATTCTTAAATATCCCAATGACATTTTTATTATTAATTTAAACAGACTTGTACATCACACAGAGCTTAAGAGCATGATTATATTAAAAAAAATCACTATCCCCCTTTATGTTTTTTATATCACAGAAGAGTTTAAGAGCTGAGCAACTTACACAAAGGTGATAGCACTTTAATTTCTCTGAGGTCTTGACGATTTTGTGTATCTCATAAATCTAATTCTCATAGCAGAGAATTGCAAATGTCAGCAGGCACAGAAGCCCTATTAAAGTATCCCCATTTATCTTTCCACACGCATTTCATTATCACATTATTTGATAGACTCACATTTACAGGTCAGAGCTGCCAAATCTGCTCAGCCCATTCTGTCCTTCTCACAACACAGACAGCAATCAGAGACACCCCTTCCCCCAACCACAGTCAGACCATCAGGGAAAGTCTATCAGATTGTGTAAGTATCAACATCTATATGTAAACAGAAGTCATTGGAACTTCAGTAAAGGCAGTTTTTTTCCTTCAGAATAATAATGAACAGCTTTTGTGAGAAATGTAAAGAGCCAATGTGTTCAAGACAACACCCCTCTGTAAGCCCTTCAGAGCTTAAAACCACAATATTAATGCTTGCTACAACAGTATTTATATAGTCAATTGGCTCCATGAATAGGAAACAACATGATTTATTGCAAACAGCAGATTTCAAACAAACAGGTATTTAGATGTCCAGTTTGTTATGATTTTATTTAAAGAAAACATGAGTTTAATGTATTCATGCAACATTTGTAGTTAAGTCTTAAATAATCATGACAAACAGAAGTAGTTAAAGAACGCACTAAATACAGACCTTGGTGAAGATACAAAAAACCTAAGCATTATTGGTTATACAAAGTAAAGAACATCTTAAATACTTCCCCAAAATACTGCAGCAGCCAAGACACAGCAATATGCCTTACAAGGGCATAGGAATGTAATTCAAAAATCACACAGGAACTATCCTTTTCCTTTAATTCCACAAACAAGACAAAAGCAACATTCAACTCCACACAGATTTTTGAGATTATGTCTATGCAGTACCTTGAGTTTTATCCAGATAGTAAAAGTTAGACACATTTATTTAGTAAACAATTATGCAGTAAATCTCTATTACATTTCTTCCTTGGTATTACCTGGAGTAGCCATGTTATTTAAAAGTGGGCAGGTTTGGTACTTTTATACTGATGTCACCAATATTAATATTTCTTGGGATCTCTGGAAGATTCATATTCTTTACAGCTGAAACAGCCCGGGCTGGAGCTCCTGCTAAACCAGCCTGTATATAAAGTGAGGAAAAACACAAGTCAGTCCAAGTTGGTCACTAGCAATATACACAGACAACTAACTTTTCAAGTATTTCCATGGTCACACAATTAGAAAGACCAGATGGTAATTGTATTTGGAATGCAATGGGTTACTTGGAAATATTAAACCAGAAAGAGAAAACAGTTCACATATTCCTTTTTAATATGGTAAAACATGTAATGTCAACTTGATGGAAAAGTATGCCAGGGAGGAATAGGAGGCTTATCCAAGCACATGGAATGTATACCTTATAGAACAGACAATCTTGAGGTGTTTGAAGTCCAACCATGCTGTCTTTGCCTCTTACCTATTCTAAAAGTTCACAAGGTTCAGGGTTGACTAGCACTGGTTACAGGTTGAAAATATGTAACCTCGAAGTAACAAGGTGCTGAATGTCAGTGGAATCAATGAATATATATATACACACAAACACACACACACATATATATAAGAGGTATTTCAAAGCGGCTTAGTCTAAGATGAAAAGAGAATAAACACCTTGCATTTGTGAGTGATAAAGAGCATGCAGAGAGATCATTTCTACAGACCAACCAGAGTAATCTGTTGTCCCACAGTATCTAATTATGTACTAATATATCTGCAGCCCCCAGGCACACTTGAATGCTACATAACAACCTGGTTATGCCAAATTAAACCCTGGAGTACCTATTTTACATTAATGTCCTCTACTGTATGTAGTCGCTCTTCATGTAAAGCTAGAGCCTTTCTGTACAGACAAGCAAGTATTTCAAAACAGAATCACTGACTTCCATTCAGTTCTGCTTTTAGATAAAGTAACTGTCAGGTTTACATATCAGGGTGTGCTATGAAATGCTAACACTTTACAGCTCAGAGACCAGAAGGCAAACAGAAAATGATCCCTCCCTATTGCTTCTGAAGAACACCTCTTCAAAACCATGTTATTTTAAAGACTATTTAAAAAAGGCCAGTAAGGGTTACTCTATTTGGTGTTGTGTAAAAAAGACACCATTCATTTTAAGTATGGAAATGTTTCTCTTAAAAGTTCAGATTCTCTATGTGTATTTAGAACTAGCTGCGTGGTTTTACTTCAGGCTTGCCACAGAAGTGTAAAAATAATTTTTTTCCTGAGGAAAAAAAAAGCATCGAAGATTCTAAAAACAGAGCTCTTATTTGCAGAAAAAGACATCATATTCCAAATTCTGTGAATATGTGAAAATAATTAACTTCTATTTTGCTGTTTTTAAAAAAAGGATTAAAAACATTCAGAAAGAATAAAAATCACAAAGTGATTCTCAGAACTGGTCCAGTAAAAAAGGGCAGTCCACAAGAAACAAAGCAACGTACTAAGAACTGGTTAAAAAAAAGGCTAAACCTATAGAAATGGAAGGTCTCTCACTGTTAAGTTTGTTAGACTGAAAAAAACAGTGCATCTGCAGATAAAATAATTCTGATCAAGAAATACAACAAAAGACAGACTTCTAGAGAAGTTTGTGTCATATTTGATCATGAAAAAGTGTTGGTAGGTAACTAATGCTCCAAGTATAACCTTTTCAGTTTCTTGATTTTCACTGAAATTCACTGCAGTTGCAGGGTACAATTCCTGAGGTGTACACCTGACTTCCATGGTGTCCACCTGGACTACTGCACAAAAAGAGACTGACACCCCATACACTACTCAGACAACAACTCTACTTGTTGGAAGCTGTCAAAAAATATTTTCTCCTTTTTGCTGCTCTCTTATAAGAAATAAATGTAATGTCAAGTTAACATAAGACTTTCACATAAAATCCTACCTATTGTTCTTGCTCCTCCCTTCAAAAGCATAACCCACAGTCAAAATCAAAATGATTAAAGTTTGTGATGTTGACCTAACCCTTTTTACATCATGTGGAAAGGCTAATGCATCATAAATCCCTAGATTTTAGTCACAGGAGGATTCCCAAGACCAGGAACAGAGGCCAGAAAGCCATGAGCCATCTATTAACACTTCCCTACAAAATACTCCAATACAAGGGATGTGAAATTCAGGAAAGGCATGTGGGGGTAAAGGAGAAAGCTCAGAAAACTTAAATCTCTAACGCAATCAGATAATTTGGTCTCACTTTGGCCCTGACATAATCCCAAGTAACAGTTCTCAGAAGTACAAACTAAGTAAAACTAAAGAGATTCTAAAAGGTGTTTTCAAAGCCTCTTTTCCTTGGTGTCCTTTAACATCACCAAGTCTATCAGGTCATTCACTTCAGAGGCTCTTTCAATTGCAGTATCTTAATGAAGGGGGAAAACCTGGAACTAACACTAGCAGTAGTAAGAAATGCAAGTGTTCAAAATCTGCATCCGTGAATCTGCAATACCCTAAAGGTGCATTATTAGACATTGCACTTTCTTGCTATTTATTAACAAACAGCACAGAAGGCATAGAGCTGCTCAACACTGTCCTTTTATATTTGAGAACTTCAAAATACTACTGTTAAATCAATAGATGAAGCTTTATCAGACAAAACAATTAATGCCTTCATTTGGTTCTATTTTTTAAATTCTATATGCAGTAACTGCAGAAAAATTCTTTAAGAAAAACCAAAAGTGGGGCAATGTAAACTGTTTTCCACAGAGAAGATGAAAATACTAATAAAAAGCAATGAATTATACCATTTATAACTGAAACAATGGGAAATCAGAAAAATATTTTAAGTGATGGACACGGTCCACACAAGCAGGCATGGCTGGCAATTCAAAGGAGAGATGCCTTCTGGGTGACTAGGATGGAGATTCCTTACCCTAACTTAATGAAAGTTATTTATTCTTAATGGACAAAAAACAGTTTTAGTATAACTAGTCATTAATTTTACCTACCTGCAGCTATCCTCTTTATACAGACTTACAGTCCCTGCCTCCTGCCCCAATAGCATAGGATACAATGGAGACACAATTGAGAATTATTTAAAATACCATAATTGACATGACCATCGCCCTTCCACCCCCCTGTGCAGCCACAACTTCCAAAAGTCACCTTTCACAAAGATCACTCTGCATCAGATCAGCCAAGACCCCTGACAAAACTGCTATCAATGTCAGAATACCTCTCTTTTTGACAGCGAGATTGTCTTTCACTATCATATGCTGGAGCAGAGATTTTTGAACTATTACATTCTCTTCTCCTGTAATTCTCTGTATTGTGTTTGTAAAACAGTATATACATAATATGCACAGCAGAATGCTATTTAGCACAATTAATGTCAACCCTATCAAGCACAATACAGTTATACAGCACTTCTAAGAGACAGCAAGTGGCTCATAAACAACATCTAATGGATAAAATGACTGGAAAGCACTGGAACTACCAAGCTGGATAACTAACACAATTCAAATGCTATTATATCTGAGATCCTTACTATTTCTTTTTAGCATGTTAAACAGTGAACTAGAATGCAGTCCTTCTATTAATTTATGATTTCTTTTACAGAAAGTGAACTGTATTTAGAAACACAAAGTACCTCCATCCCCATGTGCTGTTAAGGCGTTTGCTAGAGGTACCTGATTAAAAGAGCCATCACTGTAACACCGAACTCAGCAACTTTCACCTGGCTTTTTTATCAAATAATTCAGCAGGTAAGTTGGTGAAATGCAAAGAAAAAAAATATTTCACTGGAAAAACTAAAATATACAGCAAGCCTTAAATATGCAGTGAATGATGAATTATCTGTCACAGAGAGCAAATGACTGAAGCAAGTGAAAAGGAAACTTCTTAAAACAAACTGATGAAATTTCAGAAATACAATTGTATACAATAAGCCAAACCACCACATTTTTGCTGCAGCTGCTTTGTACTCTCAATTTAATTTGTTACTGAAGATTCTGCTTTAATGTTGAAATGCTGCATATTAAAATTTAGGTTCAGTTATTGAAAAAAATGCTTGTTAATATGTTCGTAGACTTTTAGAGTGAAAGAGGAATACTGTATATGCAAAAAAAAGCAAGCTACTTTATAGGCTGAAATAGACACATATAATACCAGAACTTTTACTCCTCTAGTCCTAGTCTATCAAATGAGAAATATAAGCAGTTGTTAATTTACTTAGGTCATTGCTTATCAGTTTAGGAATAGATTTTCTTTGTCCTTGTCATCACACCTTCTTATAATGCCCCACTGATAAATTTTTATAAAAAAGTCATCCCAACAACCCTGTTTTACTCTCTAGAAAGAAATCCATATCATTTGGGAAAAGCATTGCACATCACAAACATTGTTAATATGCACATATGAATAAAAAAAACCCATTCAAACCGTCATCCCAAATAACTCTACACAGAGCTAACTATCACTAAAATATATATATATAAATACACAGCCTACTGGAAAACAAAATAATGAAGGCTAACACTTTGTGAAATAAGCCACAGTTTTCCAGGTATTCTGGAGGTACTACGACCTCTCTGTTGCTGGTGTTTCATAGCAATGCTTCTTTTCAGAACAAGTATGACTTCAAAACAGCAGGGTTATGAAATCATGAAAGGATGCAATACATAATATAAAGGAATGATCATGTTCCCTGCTTATGAAGTTAAATAAATGAATGTAATTAGAGAAAAACCAAAATGAAGTCTGCAAGTATATCAAAATGAGGCCAAACAGATAAGAAGACTTATGACATACTCTTAGAATTTAAGCACTTGAATCACAGAAAGAGTAATGGATGGGAATGATTTATTATTTGTTTGTTTGTTTTTCAGTGCCAGACCCAAAAATAAAAACAGAATATGTGTGAGCAGAACGTAGAAAAAGAAAAGTAGCTTTGCACAAAGAAAAACAAAACCAAAAGAAATCAAACCAAAACCCTGAAATCAAACTCCCTAGTGTTCCAAATGAAATACAGACTATATGTTACAAGGATTGAAATATTATGCAGAGGAAGGACATATGCGTGATTTTCTTCAAGTGTGTACTTTGAATTTAGGTAAAATGTCACATATTACCAAAAAATATTTTTAGCTAATACTCAGTGCTACTAAATCCAATTATGGAATTATATTTTTTAAATCTTAAAGGTATTACAGTACTTTAGCCTAAAAAGAACACATGAAAAGTAAAGAGCAAAGCTACAAATGAATTCAATGAACTTCATCTACTTAAGATTGCACCTATTTAAAACACCTGCAGTTTGAATACACAGATACTCAAAATAATTTTAAAGTATTGCCATTAATATTGACTGACATTCAAACTGCTGAGCTAAACTCAATGTTTCAAACAACAAATCACAGGTAACAACAATCATAAACTCCTCCTTCTGTTCCTTGTTAATGTTCATGTTCAGTTACTGCAGTTGCCAAACATCTTAAAGAAAAATCCAGTGATCCAGATTATAATTTACAGACAGCAAATGTACGTCTGAGGCTGAGTATGTGCTGACAGCTGTTCTCATTTTATGTTTGATACACTTAAGGTTGGACAATCAACTTTGGTATTTCTACATCATCTCTACAAATTGCACTGATAATTTTATTCTCTCTATATAAAACTGTTTGTTGCTTGGTGGTTTTGGTGAAAGGTTTTATCAATATTTCGTTCACCTGAAGCTTCTTCTGAAACTTCTCTTTGCAAGCAGGTAAAAATTCTTTACTTTCATTTGGAAATACTAAATGGTGAAGCAAAAGAGTTCATATTACTTATTTTAGATTATCAGGGGCAAGATTCTCCCAACAAGGAAGCTATTTCTATTATGTCATCACATCATATTTTGTTATTTGTGTGTTTAATTTTTATTCAGATCAATTTTTGGAGGGTTTTCTGGTTAGTAGTTACACAAGTTCATACTCCTTTGTTTCTTAAACAATGATACAAAAAAAAGTTAAATTCTAAAATGCAGGAAGAGAAATAAAATAAAAAATATGATGTCAATGGAAAGCTAGTAAAATACACTATAGCCAATAAAAAGATGAGGGAACTACAAGAAACTAGCACAAAAAGTAGGCTACAAGGACTAGTGTGGATATTTTTACACATAATTTTTGAGTCTGGCCTACATAATTTATTGCCTTTGACATCATTTTGCTTTCCCTTTTTGTTAAAAGTACATTTTTTCTAAAAGTCAGCAATACCTTTGTCTACCTGTCCTGTCTGGGAGACTGAAAGATAAAGGTCTGCAAGAGAGAAGAACGGAAAGAGCTAGAAAAGATCACAAGGTTCGGAAAAAATGAGGCCCAACTTAAAAGTCTCAATCATACGCAGTTGAACACTCCAAATAGAGAAGAGGTAGCCCAAGTTTAGCTACAATACTTCCTCTGAATAAAATCCCAATGACCCCTCTCCCAAAAAAATCCCCTCCCTTTATCACAACAATCCTTTGGTTTTAGAAGGATGTACCAGAAATCCATTCACAGATAAATACTAAACTGAAAGGTAGGGAAATGCATTTAAGACAACATTTCTCAGGATAGAAATAGAGTTTCCTTTGTAGCTCATCCAAGCAACGTAAGAGCTGAATCACAAATCAAAGCTAGCGACTCTCTTATAGTGTTTTCAATAATTAATCTCTGTTGAAAGCATTAACAAATTCTTTTGAGTAGATTACTTTGCTCAAATACATGTGCATTTGATAAATACATTCAGTTGTCTTCACTAAATTCTATCTGAAAGCCTGTTTAGAAAATACATTAAATAACTAAACAAATACCTGATGTCAAATGGCTAAATTTTTTATATTACTGGAAGTCAGGTGGGCACAATAAAAAAAATTAGAGGATTTCTGAATACACAACTCAGTTACAGCTTTATTAGCTTCATCATTTCAGCTATAAAAGAATAGGCAATTTAACCTCAAAGTAGCTCCTTTATGAATGCAAGAACTATGATGGAGGTCTAACAAGCTGGAGAATAAAGCAAGAGTGCTGTGGCACCGGTGGCACTTGTATGAACTACACACTGTATCAACAATAATTTCTAAATTTGAAAAATAATTTGTTTTTAAATTAAAGACAACTAAGAAGATCCACTAGTTTTGATTTCTTAGTGACCAGCATTTGAAATTTATGAAGTTATTACTGATTTGAATTTACATGGATTTGCTTGTGCCTTGAAAACAGGTCCTTCAAGAACAACATATTGGAAGATTTACAATCTTTATCAAAAAGACAAAAGGAAAAGAAATAGCAATCAGGAAATTTCTGCGGATATACATGAAACAACTGATTAATGATCTGAAGAAATAGTTACCAGGTTTTGTGATGTATCTCAGCATTATAGTAACTGTTAAATTTGAAAAGAAACAATCACTGAACTAAGGCAGAAAAAGGTATTTGTAGTGAGCAGACTGTGAAACGTTCTACTTCATCCCAGTCATCAAGTGTTTTAATTTATCACTGCTACTTCTTTACCTTCTACAACTCAGTGCTGAATGTAAAGGAACAAGTTGCTATTTGCCTTGTATATGCTCTGAGCTCTACACAGGTTTTTTTATAACTTCTACCACCTTTGTTATACTAAGAGCATATTAGAGGAAAGAATAACTTACTGATGAATAACGCAAAACAGCAAGTATTGCAGCTGGTTGCACTGAATCAATGTGTTTCAGATGACTAGTCAGAGAGTGGTCTACATTTGATTTGGTAACAGAATTCACATAATTAAATGCTTGCAGGTAAATCTAATATGTACATAACACAAGGTAGAACACAGCTGCTCAGTAAGTTCAGCTTGTGGAACACTACGTTATTTTTCCATCAACTAAAGAAATATATATGTATACAGGGGTTATTAAAAAATAGTAAAAATTTATGAGAATAGCTTCAAATATTTGTTTCTGTGATCAGTGTCTAATTCTGAGTTTGAGAAAAATATTAAAGTGAACATTTTGGACACCCTCATAATCTACAATACAGTCCTTCGACACATGCTGCTATGCCCTGCATCCTATCATATCATACCTAGATTTTTCTTGACTTCACATGTTGCAGTCCTGTTCTTGGAAACAGCTTGGAAGTTGTGCAAAACAGACAACTAAGTGTATTAAAATAACTTGAGGTGGCACAGTTTGAGACTGTGGAATTTAGAGAACAGCATACACTGTACCACATAAATGCAGAAGAATTCATTATGTTCTTTGTTGAGCTCAAATTACAACTAGGAAGTTCTCCGGGTCATCTCCTAAAATGTCATTTAGTTCATATTTATGCCACCTGCAAGATGTCAATCCAATCAGCTGATTTCAACTTTAGAAACAATCTCCAATTCAAGCAATAGCTTGTTCAGAAATTTGAGTATTACGCTTCAAAAATCTGATGATGCATTCTTTTGTGGAATTGCTCTCATCGATAACAGTCGAAGACTTGGCTAAGATGTACTAGCAGTATTTTAGCTTTTACAAGGCATGTCTGGTGATGTTAAATAAACAGAAATATTTGTGTCATAGCTAAATTAATTCTAAAATCCTTTCCTAGTCTAAATGTCTTTCCTAAACACAAACTCAATTACTGAATTGAAAAGGGATTCCCATAATTTATGTGAGATCCCTCACTCAGACTGTTATGGGCATATACAGAATATAATTTTCTTGCTCAAGTCCACTCAACTGAAGACCAAAGGCTCAGATTACCAAAACTGCAGAATTCATATTTAAAGGGTCTAAAATTGGGTTTTAAATTCTATATAGTCCATTTGAGTTCAATTTATTATTCTGTGTTGCAGTATTACTGCTGCCACTTATTGCAGGAGCTAAAAAACATACTAAAGGACAGGAATATGTAGTCTTTATATACACACTATGTCTCTTTATCTAATTTTATTTAGACTCACTAGTCCAGCATAACAAACATGCTAGACAAGAGGAGCTTGCAGAAAGAAAGAGCTACAGAATTATCTCAATAGCAATGGTGCACAATGCTATTAGATAAAATAGCAAAAGCAAATCAGCAGTGACTCTAAGTAAAAGGTACAACATCCTCAGATACACTGTAAATGTTTAGCATTATAAGCAATCAGCTTACAGTATATAGTTCGCTAGTGAAAGACAAACAGCATATACTACATGCATGCATTTACAACCACATTTTTAGTTTAAAAACTATGCAGTGCATCACTCTTACCTCAGATTTCTCCAGTTTGTTTTGAGCATCAATCTGGGTGACAATTTCATTCATGTTGGTCTCCAAAACCATTCCACCCATGACCATTTCGGCCAATATATTATGGACCTAAAAGAGACCAAAAGACAATTTGAAAATGCAAAACGTCCTACATGCAATCTGGAGAGTTTAACACTGGATTCTTCAGTACAGGAAAACATTCTGCAAATCACTTAACTAATGCTATCAATTACTTAAAAACCACTTGGGAACAAAGCTCGTAGCTTAATGTTCCTTTCTCTAGTATCTTCTTTGCTCACAGCTCTGCCACAAACTCATCAGCTACACCACTTCCCTTATCACTGCTAGAAGAAACTTTCACATTCCTCTTTCTTTCAGTTCCTGTCTTCTAGCCAATGATTATGGACAAGAGTTCAAATTAGTGCCAATAGTAGTAATACCTCTGAGGAGCAGGCTGTACAAGATTAAATAAATTGCTCACAAACAGATGTGTAAAAACTAATTTAGGTGACACCTGTGAAGGAAGAATGATATAGGGATGCTTACCCACCACGGGTACCAAGATTAGGACTAGAAATAGAACTGACATTCCTGAGCTACACCATACATATAGAGTCTTCAGCATCTACGATTGAGACTAACAGCTAGGACTCAAACTGAAGGAGCACGTAAACCAGATGGGGACATTAATGAAATGGGTGTGTTTAAATATCTCTCTTCCCTGCAACCCTGACTTGGGGATGCAAGCCCTGGTTCATGAATATCTGCTTCAGAGTCTGCATTCACACCTTAGTAAAGACTAACTTATTTTTTTAGAGGCATTCTTCCACATATGTTCTAGTAAAAATCCAGTTAATATGTAATGTATAATATTTTAAGCCCATATTGACATTTAAATCTGAAGACAATGAACATTTTATTACTTTTCAAAAATAAATACAATGTACAATCTGACACCTCAAAGTATAATTCTGCTATTATTTTGGATATTCTCGCAATTTCTCTGTGGATCAAGGATACAAGTGAATCTCCAAATCAAATAATTCTAAAGATGAGTTGAAGGTGGTACATTAAAAGGCAATACAGATCTTGGCTTTATGCCATATCTAAAAACAAAATTGAAGTTGTTTTCCTGATAAATCATTTGTATATTTCAGTAGAAATTTACAATTCATGTGTTTAGAGAGGCTGAATGCAGATGTAAATTCAAGATGTAGCCACACTGAAGCAATTAGAACTAGATCAAAGGGCCTCCAGAAGTCTCGTCCAGTATAAACTATTCTATGGTTCTAAGAACAAAAAACCTGAATGGTTTTACTATATTATAAATTAAAATAAACAAACAAACAGGAGAGGCTTCTTGGGCACACAGACCACAGATTATAAACATATGGCTGTAGCCCAACCACAACAACAAATCAAGTCAACCACTGCTTGATAACCAAGAGAAAGAATTTGGTTTACAGGTTCAAAGCACACATCTCACCAAGACACCAGTTCCCCTTGGTATAAATTCTGACAGATGTCTGCAACATGACAGCAAGCTACAGATTAAGGAGTAATTGCCAAGGGAGCACTGTCTGCACCTAAAAACTTCAGGTTTCTGGCCAGCTGTAGTACAGATGACATAACTGTTCAGAACAGCACTATACTTCTGTGACCGGCATCAACATCCAGCCTTTGGCAGCTATTGACATTACCCTTATGATGGAAGCAGTAAAGAAGGGGAATGAATACAATTCTGAATACAGCTTCTCACAAATAAAATGGCTTATAATTGAGACTGTATATGCAGATTTACAAATACTACAATAAGCTTTACAGACAGAAAGGACAGCATGAATATAATTATTTTTTCTAAAGCACACTAGTCCTCAGAGGAAACCTTAGTACCCTCTACCAAAGCATTAAGAAAATACCTTCCTTAATCTTTTTAGTCATAAATTTCATTTCCCTAGCTGTTGCAGTTTTAAAAGACTGCTTTATTATCAGGTGATATTTATCAGTTAGGTGATTCTCCCCCTCTGCTCTGCTCTTGTAAGACCTCATCTGGAGAGCTGCATACAGCTTTGGGGACTGTCCTAGGCTACAATGCAGGGGGTAACCGATGGTACGTATTCTGTGTTTCCACAAGCTGTTAAAGCAGGTG